AGAGGATCCAGAAAATGCTTTGTGTAACTCCTATAACACCAGTTGCTTCTCAGCCTGTGTCGGTTATGATTAGTTTCAGCTAAATATATTAGAACACCCCTGTAATAACAGTGGCTTAGACAGAAGAGATGTTTATTCCTCTCTCACAGAAAAGAAGACATGCCGTGCTTAGCAGGATGCCTCTGTGGTCATCAGCAATCAGGCTTGTTCTTCCTGCCTCACTGTTCTAGTAATAGCTTTCATCCTCAATGCTGCTTCCTAACACAAGCTAGCTGCTGGGGCTCCAGCCTCATTCCAGCCACCAGCGAGGAGGAGATGCGGGAGGACACCCTGTAGGCCACTTTCCAGGAACAATACAATGCTTTGTATCTCCATTGGCCAGAACTTAGTCCCTGGGCCTCCCTTAGATGAAGTCAGCTTGAGAAATGGGTCTATTCTGGGCAGTAAGAACAAAAGAAAGAATGATATTTGGTGGAGAGGTTATCAGCTTTCTGTCTGTACCCTGTGGCCCAATTTTAGTAGGGAGCTGTACCCCCGAATCAGTAATCAGATAACCAAAAATTAGTGAAAAGCCATTGTTATCTTCATTGTAGTCTCTCAAGTAAACACCAAAAGGAATAACATTCTTTAGCCAGCAGCAAAGGTCTCTCCCTCTTGCTACCTCTCTTGATCATCTCCCATGCAAGACAGCTGCTCCCCATGCTCCTTCTCCACTCCAAAACTTTCTCCAACCTGGTCAGTGCAGCCTTTCTTTATATATATTTCTTGTAACCTACCATCTTGGGCTCAGTGGATCTCCAATAGTAGATTGGGATTGAGTTTGAGCTCTCCCTACTTTGAGTGTGTGACCCAAGCAGAACCTTCAAGGAAGAACTTCTTGGGCTGTAGAATGATGGTAGTGGAGGTGTGTTCACACTGCCAAGCTGAACACCTTCCTCTCTTTTCTGCTTCAGTTTCCTTCTGCTGAAATCCTTGTGGCTGTCTTTAGGAGGAGGGGCACAGCATGTATTTGGGCCACAGGGACACTCTCCCACTTTGCTGTCCCCCTGTCTTCAGGGCACCTGCTTGCAGCGCCTAGCTCCTGCAGGGTTGCATTCTTCAATGCAGCTTCTCGAAAGCCCTCCAGTTAGAGAATTTAAATCCTCTGGGGGATTCAGCCTATCAGATTTTAAGTTCAATCACCATCTCTTTCAGGGCCTTGGGCCCTTTTAACACGAGAGAAAATTGTTTACCAGATTTTGACTTTTTTTTCCGCTCAAGGAGTCTGACACTAGATAGGGTGTTCCTTGGACGTAAAGGCCACTTGGAGGCTTCTCTATCCCTGCTGGAGTCTGGGTGGCACATCGGTCTTGTTGATGACCAGTTCTGCCCCACTGGAAGACCATTAGGAGCACAGGCTCTTGCTGAACTCTGGGCTGGATTCGGGAAGCTCCTTCCGGAGGATTAAGAAACCAGCTTGGCCACACCCCACTTCCAGGAATCTCGTTTGTTGGGTTTGATTTAGGACCCCGAGGTCTCTGTCATCCCCTGGCTTTTAGTTCTGTTCTGGTGGCTTGGCTCAGAGCTCCATGACTTGCCTTTGCTCCCCAATGACAAGAATTGAAGCAGCTTTTAGGATTGTGATAAAGTCTCATATTTTTCAGAAATTTTTGGCTATGAATTCTTCTCATTAGGACCTGATTTATGGATTTCTAGCTTTCCAAGCTGTGTTCCGTCACTTTTGGTAGATAGCCCACTGTAAATGGTTTTCCAATCTGAGCAGAAAGGCTGAAAGTATCCTTTAATACAAGCTTTTGAATTCAATATCCCAATCTCAGCAAATTCCCTCTTGGCCACATAGTCTCTCTGTAGCAATGTGATAATTTGCACGTGAAGGGAATCTCTTTGTTTTAAAAGGAGATAACTTTGTTTTAAAATTGATAAACATTTCATTCGTGTCATGTCCCCCAATTTGTAATAAGTTTGATAGTCGACAGACTATATTATTTAGAGCAGCTGCTTTTCTAATTCATAAATAAGTATACATATATGTTCAAAAACGTTTACGGAGAGGATGCACGTTGCATTGATCATGCGTGGGACAGTTCCCTTTCCTGACTTTTTGTTTTGAAAAATTTCAAATCTAGAGAACAGTTGCAAGAACAGTATAATGGACAGTATTTTATTCTTCACATAATGATTTGCATAATAACTTAACATTTTTACCGATTGCTCTGTTTTGCCTAATGGGGGCAGGAGGTTTTCTTTTTTTCTGAACCATTTGAGAATAAGTTACATGCATTGTGACATGTCACCCCTAAATACCAGGTAGCTCTCTCTTTTTTTTTAAAGATTTTATTTATTTGAGAGAGAGAGAATGAGAGAGAGCATGAGAGGGAACAGGGTCAGAGGGAGAAGCAGACTCCTTGCTGAGCAGGGAGCCCGATGTGGGACTCGATCCCGGGACTCCAGGATCATGACCTGAGCCGAAGGCAGTCGCTTAACCAACTGAGCCACCCAGGCACCCCAAATACCAGGTATCTTTTAAGAACAAGAGTATTCTTTGATGTGACACCTGTACATCATCACACCCAGGAAGCAATGTTGAGGCAATACTCTATTATGCTGTATCTGATACGCTGTTCATTTTCCAGTATGGGTTTTGATAACCTGGAATCCATGAATGATCCACAAGGTCAGCCTCTGCAGACCTGCACTTAGTGGGTGGCAGTAACTTGGCTCAGGTGCTGGGTCTTCTAATACCATTTCATTGGCTCAAAAACTGACTCCGAGTTCCTTTCCTCAACTGTGGTTGGCATTGTCTCACCCGTGGATTTCTCAAACCTGCAGTGGTGGTTTTTATGCCTTCTTGATCGCAAGTCCCACAGCAGCTGTCAGTTTCCCGAGGATTTCCTTTCTCCTGCATGGAGCCAGTTCAAAGCTTTGAACTTGTCTAGGCATGGCTGCCACCGGCCTCCTCTCTGTGGGAAAAGGAACTAAATTTCCTCAGAAGTTGTGTGTGTTATAGTAGATGAAAGCAAATTTCCGTTATCTAATTTCAGAACATTTTCATCACCCCTAAAAACAACCCATTGGCAGTTACTCCCCAGTCTCCCTTCCCACCAGTCCCTGGCCTTTTCTAGATCTTTCATATGAATGGAAAAATACAATAAGTGGTCTTTCGTGACTGACTTTTCTCCCTTAGCAGAAGTTTTCTCGAGGTTCATCCATAGCATGTATCAGTATTTCATTCCTTCTTATTGGCAAATAACATTCCATTGTATGGATCTACAATATTTTGTTTATCTACTCATTGGTTGATGGATATTTGGGTTGTTGTTACTTTTTGGTGATTATGAATTGTCCTTCTGTGAACATTTGTGGACAGGTTTTGTGTGACAGAAGTTTTCAATTCTCTTGAATATATAAACCTAGAAGTGGAATTGCTAGCTCATGTGTTAACTGTGAGCTTAACATTTTGAAAACTGGAAAACTGTTTCTCACAGCTGCACCATTTTGCACCACCTCCCACCAGCAGCACGTGAGGGTTCTGATTTCTCTACACCCTCGCCAACACTTGTGACTGTCTCTCTTTTTGAATGTAGCCATCCCTGAGGTTGTTAAATGGTAGCTCGTTCATATTTATTTTTAATGGCCAGTGTTAAAAATTTTGTGTCAAGTATGTAAAACTACCTCCAATTCTTTTTTTTTAATGTGGTAAAATATCCACAACATAAAAGTTACCATTTGAGCCATTTTTAATTGTACAATTCAGTGGCATTAAGTACGTTCACAGTGTTGTACAACCATCACCACCATCCATTTCCAGAACTTTTTATCATCCTAAACCAAAACTCAGTGCCCATTAAATAACTCCCCATTCCTCCCTTGGGGATGGAATTCTATAATGAATTAGCCTATCCTAGGTACCTCCTTATCAATGGAATTAAGCAATATCTATCCTTTTGTGTCTGGCTTACCTTATTTGTTGTAATGTCTAAAGTTCATCCATGTCATAGTATTTGTCAGAATTTCAAACTTTTTAAAAAAATTTTATTTTATTATATTATGTTAATCACCATACATTACATCATTAGTTTTTTTTTTTTAAGATTTTATTTATTTATTTGAGAGAGAGGGAATGAGAGATAGAGAGCACGAGAGGGAAGAGGGTCAGAGGGAGAAGCAGACTCCCTGCTGAGCAGGGAGCCTGATGTGGGACTCGATCCCGGGACTCCAGGATCATGACCTGAGCCGAAGGCAGTCGCTTAACCAACTGAGCCACCCAGCGCCCACATCATTAGTTTTTGACTTCAAATTCTTTTTTGGAAGCAGATCTGGCAAAATTTTAAATACTAAGCTAATAAAGAAAATGTGCCTTACGCTCCAGGACGCTCTTTGTGTTGACTTTAAGATCCTGGGACTGCTTCCTAGAGAGAGGCACCCCCATCCCTTTCCTCTTGTTTGTAGTGGAATGCTATGGGCACCTCATGCCTCCCATACTCATTGGTCAAGTCAGAAGGCATTTCTTCTGAAATATTGCTGTTGTAGATTTTCCTTATGGCAGTAATGAAGACTTACAATGGGGATTTTAGTAGGGCTCCCTTGTCATAGACCACTAACAGAGGAGATAGTTTACTTTTCCTAGTGTTTCTATGCTGGGGACGACCCTTTTGTAGGGCCCAAAGTGCAAATTGCTTTTGCCAATGGAGTTCATTAGAGTCTGTGTGTAACTACCAGCAGACTTTATTTTAATATTTAACCCCAGAATTGTGCTATCTACCATTTGTCTCGTTGATTTTCCAAATAATGGTACTCTGACATGTTTATAAACTGTAACTGCCTTAAGGTATGTTTGTCCAGTGTGTATGCTTAGCAAAGTCTGTATAACTGGGATGGATTCCATTCTTTATTTATAAAAAAGTTATTAAGTGAATTTCATTGACTTCTAGTTTATCTTGTTAATACAATTGTCCAAAACAAATACGAAAGAAATTATTAGCATTCTCTTGACTTCATAGATTAGAACTTTGGAACAGACCAAAGCCACTGAAGACCTAAATAAGTCCAAAGACAAACTTGAGAAGATGGAGAAAGCTGAGAAAAAGCTAATGTCTGTCAAGTCAGAACTGGGTACTGCAGAGCATGAGACTCAGGAGGATAAAGAGGGGGCCAGGAATATAATGGAAGTGGTAACCAGCGAAATGAAGACACTAAAAAAATGTCTGGAAGAAGCAGAAACAAGAGAAAAGCAGGTGGGTAAAATCTGGGGGTGAAATCTTGTTTAGGAAAAGATGGGACAATTCAAAAGCTTGATAATTTTTCATACGTTTCTTCAAAAACAATTTACAAAGCTTTCTTTATCATTTCAATGTATCTGCTTGCCCTCTAACATCTTTCTGGAATTAAAATGACCATTATGATTTACTCTGCTAAGAAAAATAATTCACAGTCTGATGGCACGAATCGTAGGAAAGAAAAAGACCTTCTCATCAAAGCAGTGGAAAGGCTGTGGAAAGCCAGGTTCTGGTTGTGGAGAGGTTTTGATTATGTTCACTGATTGCCTCTGAAGTTTGCATCATCCCAGGCTTCAACCTCAGGAGGGAAAGCTTATCTTCAGCAGAGATCAGTGTCAGGAAACTGTCCCAACTCTCAAACAGTGGCACCCAGACTCGATGGTCAACCTTGCCCAGATGTAAGCCATAAACCGTACTCACTCGCTGACTGGTTGTAAGGAGGAGAGTTTTATCTGGTGAGCACATCAGGAGGTCAGGCATAAAGAAACTGTCCCGGGCAGCCTGACCCCCATAGCTTTTGGCTTTCATCTCCCTCTCTTGCTGAAGCTCAAAAGGGCAGAGAGTGGACTCTGATCTTAGGATTTTCTTTTTTTTTTCCTCTTCGGCTGCCTCTGCTTTGGCTCATGTGTCAGGCAACGTTGAGGAAGGCCAAACTATAAAGTGTGTGTTCTCAGAGGGAAACCTCTCAGGAATGAAGAGCCTTGACCATATGTGAAAGGGGAGAAAAGTTTGAGGGGAACTTTTTCATCAGGGACACTAGGCTGGAGAGAGTATTATGTTCCCCTAAACTGGACTCAGCATGGGAAGGAGGTTGGGAAGTGAAGGAAGACAGGGTGAGAATGTTTGGAAGGCACTCTTGCTGGAGGCAATGTCTGTTGGGTCACATCTTTCCAAAATGGAAGGTACTTCTAGCAAGGGGTTTCCCAGATAGCCCTGACTTACCTGCTTCTGCTGTAGTGCAGAATCACAGCAACCAGCATATGAGAATTTAAGGGGTCTGAGGCACATTTGCATCCATGGTCTTCAACCTCCCCACCTCTCCATTTTTCCTATTGTGATGGACAGAGAGTAGTCCCAGAGAGTCTGCTGTTATGGGTTGTGAAGGAGGCTGTCATGTGATGTGATCTGGTCATTTTTTAGCAGTCCTTCTTGTTTTTATCAGCTCATACTTTCTTGCCCTTTGTTCTTCCTTTAGCTTAAGAGTTTCCATGCCCAGGGGCACATGGGTGGCTCAGTCAGGTAAGTGCCCGACTCTTGGTTTCGGCTCAGGTCGTGATCTCAGGGTCGTGAGATCGAGCCCCACGTTGGGCTCCATGATCAGCATGGAGTCTGCTTGAGATTCTCTCTCCCTCTCCCTCAGCACCCCCCATCTCTCTCTCACACACACACACACACACACTCTCTCTCTCTCTCTCTCTCAAATAAATAAATAAATAAAATCTTAAAAAAAAAGTTTCCATGCCCAGTTAAAATTCCAGTGGGTAAGTACTTATCACACATGGATACAACCACACCTTTGTAAAGCACTTCTTAGTATATGGAACACATACACAGTCATTGTCTCATTAGATGCAAATTTCAGAACAGCCCTGAGAAGTAGGTGTATGGTTATTCCCACCGGGAAGTGAGAACACGGAGTCTTAGGTCAGGGTCTCATTCATGGTTGCCCAGCCGAGATTCTTGACTTCATAGCCAATGCCACACTAATTGACTCATCAGAAAAGAGGTTATGAAATCACCGAAAGTTGGGGATGAAAGCATGTTAGAGGTAATTTAGCAGATGGCACCTTCCTATTTTATAAGTGAGAGGACTGAGGTTAAAGACAGTAAGTGATTTGCCTACCTCATGCACACCTGGGCTTTCCACGGGTTTTTTTTGTTTGTTTGGTTGGTTGCATTTGGACTAGCAGTGGTTGATACATTTTGTTCTCACCCTTCGTGTGTGTGTTTGATATTACAGCTGGTGGACTTCAGGGAGGTGGTTTCCCAGATGCTGGGCTTGAACATGACCAGTCTTGCGCTTCCAGACTATGAAATCATCAAATGTCTTGAAAGACTGATCCATTCACATCAGCATCACTTTGTCACCTGTGCCTGCCTCAAAGATGTGACGCCCGGGGGAGATAGGCACCCACAGAGTCACTTAAAACTCCTTCATTGAATACCATCTCTCTTGGGGGAGGTGGAGCTAAGAGATGGGACACAACTGTCAATTTCACAAATTCCCCAAGCCTTTGACATTGATCAGTGTGTGAATACCATGTAGTTCGATGACCGCGCGCACGCAAATCCATCATTTGCAAAAAAGGATCTCAGAGGTGCCAGCTGTAGGTTAATGTTTGACACTAAGAACAGCTGTTATTTTATTTGCTAGCACTTTGGGACCCAGCAGAAGTCCAGTAGATTGCATATCTAGAATGGGCAATGGGTGGTAGGGGATTAACATTTATGGGATTCTTTTTTTATGAGTCAGGGGCTTTACTACCCAATTTAATTCTCATAATGGTCACGTGGAGAAGCTTTAATGTTTTATTTTACAACCTTTCTGGGGCTCAGAGAGGGTGTTACCTACCCAAGATTGTAGTTGGTTAGTGATTGAACCAGCAGCCTTACCACGTTGGCCCTTGATCAAAGGCTGTGCCTTCTCTGCTACACTATTCTCCTCCAGTTTCTCTTGAGATCCTGTGATCCTGGTGGAAATTGCCCCCATAAAGGAAGGCAAACATTCATACATTCAGTCAAGTCCAAAAAGTGACTGAGATTCATGAGTGTCACGCATATGATTTCTTTAAAAAGCATTACAACTAATTATTTGGATAAAACATACATAGGTCTGAGGTCCTATGAGAAACCTACTGGTTTTAAATGTTGCTGCCAGATTATATTTGGTGGTAATTTTTCATGTTTGAACAGGGTTGGTCTCAGTCCTTTAAAAGTGAAACCTTTAACGTGAAACCTATAAGATGAAGAAATCCTGCCCAGGTTTACTCACCAATATATCACATGTACTGACAACAAGAGTACTTTTTTAGGATCAGGGTTTTATTACAAATTCCCATCCCTTTCTGCTTTCTTTTTAAATTTCTATTTCACAAGTGTTATTCAGGAAACCATATTCTTAACTTTATTGAGAAAAACTTTTACTTTTTTGGGTGATTATCTTATTTTCGCCATATGAAAGTATGTCTGAAAAAAAGCATTGGTGTCTAATTAAAGGAGGGGGGAAAATAGATTACACTCAAATATTAAGAGAAAAAGTAAATTCTAGAGGGAAGAAAAGGAGTTTGACACTTAGAGGCTGGATGACAGATCACACAGAGGGAGAATGACTAAGGATGTCCCCTGGGGAATGGTCAGGGTTGCCTGGTTTTCTCCCTCATGTGCAAGGACAGTATGAAGTAGCATTTGTGACTGATTAAATATACCTGCACAGCCATGACTGAGGACATGAGCTAGGGCTGCAACAGGCAGGAGACTTGGCCTTGTATTTTCCCAGCAGAAGGCCTGTGGTCTCTGGAGATCCCTCCCCGCCACCCCACTCCAAAGATGCAATGGCTACTGGTCTGGACCCACACTCACCCAGAGCGGTAGAGGCGACTTTACTGGTTGGGTCTCCAGAGGACTGAATTGCTGAGTGGCTGTGTTTCATCCATGCCATGGAAAGGTGGAGGGTGTTTAGAGATGGAGGAATTGTTTTTATACCTTCCCTCTGTTTTCATTCTCCAAATACAATCTTTAATGAACTTCACTTATTTTCTCTGTAAATTTCATTTTTGACGCTATTCAGAGATACTTTTAACAGCATCACTTTAAAACCATGAACTGGCATGATAATATGTTTCCATTTCTGGTGGAAAGACTACACACGCATAAGAAAAAGAAGTTCTGTTTATATATATAGTCCATAGACACAGTAACTATTTGTCATTCGGACAAATTGAAATCCCTTAATAAAGCCATTTCTCTCCTTGTTGAAATGCCAGTTGATCGTTGGCTTTCCCTCTCTGGCATTCATTCTAGAATTGGCAACCCAGGCTCACATTTTTGTGTTAGATTTTTGTTCTTCCATAATACCCATGTATATTTTATGTTGTCCAATAAAATGTGTTAGATTGATGAGATTTTCTAAATAGGGCTTTAAAATATTTAACACCAACTCTTCTACCAAATACGTTTGAATGATAATTGCCTTTGAGATTATTATCCTGGTCACTGAGACATTTAAATGTATGCATAAAACATCTCAATTAGGAAGAAAAAAGAAGCCTGAGCCATCTAAATTTTCAGTTCTACCTTGTAGTTTTGTCTTACTGATAAACGTGAGTGATTCAAGGTCAAGAGGTGATGGGCTGAAAAGTGGTTAAATGGTGTCTCCGTTATTTATATTGTAATAATACTTAGGACTTAGAAGTGGAGTTTATTCTTCACTGGGAAGCATTTCATGGTTATGTAACCTTGGATCGGGAAGGCTCTGTCCGCTCTATGCAGTAACGATCTTATCCACGTTATTGCACAACTCCGCTTAGCTTCTCATCAGGAAGTGGGGTCTGGATGCTTCTCTCTCCCCTATGCAGCCTCCACACCTTTCTGCCTGCACCTTTGTATAAAAACCATCGCTCATTTGAGGCTCCTATTAACAGATATATAACTTTCCTCTGGTCTTCATTGCAGTTACCTACTAACATCCTGTCTGTTCTTCCTACTTAAGACTACTGCAGATGGTTCATAGGTGTCTTCTCCACCCTGTTAAGTACTGCCTTCATCTTGGATGGCTTCAGTGCCCATAAGGAAAACTCATACAACACCCTATCTTTAGTTTCTTGGCCTTCTTGACCCCCATACATTTACCTCCTTTAGTTTCAGCTACTTAAACCTTAGGTTGCAGTTTATAGTAATTCAATTTAGACTACCTTCAGTTGGAGTGCCTGGGTGGCTCAGTTGGTTAAGCATCTGCCTTCGGCACAGGTCATGATTCCAGAGTCTTGGGATCGAGTCCTGCATCAGGCTCCCTGCTCAGGGGGACGTCTGCTTCTCTCTCTGCTCCTCCCCCCACACCCCGTTTGTGCTCTCTCTCAAAAATAAATAAATAAAATCTTTAAAAAATTATATTTAGACTAACTTCACCCAAAGAGAATTTGGTGGTGGTGGGGGGGCTCATCTGAAAGATTTAGGGTAGACTAGCTTCAGCATGGTTAGATCCAGCGATTTAAAATTGTTATTTGGATTCTTCTCGCTTCTACCCGTCTTTCATTTCTCCTTGATTTGCTTGTCTTTGCATGTTGGTCTCACTTTCTCCTTCTGGAGGTGGTTCCTCCATGCTGCTGGAAGGATGGCCACAAGCAGCTACGTGATCTTTACAACTCATAGCTGAGAAAATGAGAGACTCTGCCTCCAACATTCAGGGAAAGATTGTCAGGAAAGAAGAGTCCGATCATCTCTTCTTGGTCATGTACTCATCCCTCAACCAAGCACTTTAGGCAGGGGATGAACTCATTGGCCTGCATCATCCCATGCCAACTCCTGTAGCAGAGGTGGGGTGGGGTGAGGTTCCAGGGTGATCTGTTCAACCAAAAGCACATGTAACGACAGAAGGAAAACTCCCCAAAAGAAGAGAAGCTGGACAGGCACACAACACACATCTATGACACATGGTCCAATTTAGAGTCTTCTAATCACCTACAATTTCTCCACCTCTGAAATCTTCAAATCTCCATAAACTCTTACCATTGCAGACCTCCATCTCTTACCCCCACACAGTTGTTCTTTGAGTCTCTTTGGTTCTCCTATTTTTCTCCCTACTAGCCTTGGCATCTGGGGTCAGCAGAGATCCTCTGCTTCCTTTCTTCAATCATTCTTTTCCCAACACCTTGAACTTCTTGTGCCCTTGCCCCTCTCCCCTCATATTTCAATTAATCCCAACTAACAATGTTTCTGCTGCTTTTCCTGCCCCACCCGATGAGACCGGAGGGAATCACAGGTGGGCATGCCAAACTCAGGTCTTTTGGTCTCACCTGAGCCCTCTGTACTAACTGGTAATCCTCCACAGTGTTCCACTTAGAGCTCACTGCCACTTTCTGAAATGACTCACGAAAATCTCTTCCTCAAGGCTCTTAACCTGTCTCTTTCTTCACTGTCAGCAGATAATCTTGTCTCCTATTTCACCCACAAAATAGAAGCCATTACAGGAAATATCTTCAATATCAGATCCTAAAATAGCCTGCTATGTGTGCACACCCCTCATTGCCTCCTTCCCTCTTCCTGCCTTGGACTCTTTCCTCCCCCCGGCCGCTTGCATCCGAGCAACTTCATCCCCTCAGTTGTCCTCTCTTCAACCTCACATTCATATGGCTCCTTTCCCTCTGCATTCAAATGTGTTCGTCTTAAATCGGTCCTTCTACTCTGCAACAACTTCTGTGTGGGGCCTCACTTCCCTCTCTTTCTTCACAGTCGAGCCACTTGAAAGTGTGGTTTCTATGGCTGTCTTTCTGGTCTTACCTCCCATTCCTGTCATCGTCCGCGGCAGCCTGGCTTCTGTTGCCACTCACCCAGCTCTCGCATTTTTTGTTAGCAAACCTGTTAGTTTTAAAGTCCTTGTTTTGCTTGATCTTTCTGTAACATGTAACACAGTTGACCATTTCCTTCTCAAATCATTCTTTTGCATTAGCTTCCATGATGTGGCATTCAATTCATTTCTTTCCCTCTCCCTCTGTGGGTGCTTGAGTCGGATTATTTTAAGGTTATAAGAAACAGAAGTGAAATGAGCGTTTAATGTAACGATAAGTGTGGATATGAGCGTGGGTGGGAATCTTGACCTCGCCGTCAGAGCTCAGTGAGGAACAATCATCCATCTCAGGAACCGGAATGGAGTCGATGGTCCAACAACTAGGGCGCCAAGTGCAGGGTCCAGTGTGGCTCTCATGGCTGAGTGCTCTTGCTTGTCCCATGCATCCTGGTTTCCTTTGACGCCATGAAAACTCAACTTCCCTCTGTCTCTGCTTCTACTGCTTCAGCTGGTATCTCAGACGCCTGGCTTCCAGAACTGGGTGACAAAACATTTGTGTAAACCGTGAGGTTTGTGGAACTTCGTTAACGCAGCCCTGGCAGCCTAGGTCTCCTCTTACAAGATTGCTTGGGTTTAAATAACGTAGAGCATTTAGAAGA